AGTGATCATATATTGAAATCTATTATCAAATGTCATATCTTGACATTTTTGACAATTGTTGAAAATACTTCCAAATGGCATCTAATGTTGTAAACTTCCGACAAGGCGACACTAAATTAATTCGATCAGTCGATCAATGCTGCCATCGCACTTCAACGAAGGAGAACTAAAAGAAACACTAAAACAATCCAGGCTTAAACAGGAAACGAATTAATACAGAAAAATCATATAAAAAATTCTAGTGATTTTCAAGGCTAGTAAAACTGAACTAGAAACCTAATTAAGGTGCATAATTTAAGAAAAAAGTACACAGCAAAGAAATTAAGGGCACAACACAGAGACGGACAAATGCGATCTGCAAAACAGAGTAGCCTCTAATTTGCAAGTGGGCCAAACTTATTTTCGTAGGAGTATTGATATTAAGATTTCTTTAGTTGTATTAGTAATTATTGCCTTTTATTTAAAAGAGCCACTCTAAAGGATTCGATGCACAATTTCTAAAACGAGAACTGAAAAGACAACGGTTCTTCTTTGTTTAATTTCGAACAAATCGCATGTGGTCTTTGATTAATTCCATTTTCAGAAAATAATAATAATAATATTAATAATAATAAAAATAATAATAATAATAATAATAATAATAATAATAATAATGATAATAATAATAATAAAAAGCGACTACTTAGCCCATTTTTACATTCAAAGTCAGCCATTAAACATTGTACAAAAACGGCAATTGTCGTTTCAGTCATTCTAGGCCTAATTTTTTTCATTTTTCCATAACCGCAATAAATCAAAACAGGGTGCGTTATACATTCTCTATTAAATTCACGACATTTTAGTAACTCGCGTGCATGGAATGGTAAATATCGGTCAAGTCATCTTCTGAGCCGCTCGTCCGACCAGCAACGAGCAGCTCGGTCCGTTGCTGCATGGTCGGTCCGCAAAATTCGGTCCGCTCGTCCGATTGCAACAACCAGCTACAGCCATGATCGGTACACCTGCGAAAAGCAAAAATTTACGAGTAAGAACATGTATCGATAATACTAAATTCAGACGAAAGAAATATTAAATAAAAAAATTAATTAGAAACTAAAATCATTGGACACTTCAAGATTGAAGTATTTTATATAATCTTTTCACATCAACATAAATATTTATTTTTAAATTATAAATCAGAAATCAAAATGTGGCACAAGTTTGTATATGTTTGCAGATTACTCAAGCCTCCTACGCATATCATAGCGACCCATGAGTCCTAACCCCTCCCCTACCCTCAGATGTAGGTTACCCGTAAAGTAGCCGTATGAAGCTGGTGGCCGTAGGTTATTTTTCTTGCACAGCAATATTATACTACAATGTTATTTCGTGCAATTATTTCATATTTATTTTATTTAGCGCCTATAAACAAATATTTATCTTATGATGGAGGGGGCTGTGATATTTAATTATACATATCACTGAAAGATAATGCGGCTGATTTCGGTTTTAGCACGTCACATTCATCACGAATGTCCCCAGATAACATAGCTTCGATCTCAAATAAGGCTAGACTAGTCTCTGCATATTGGTTGAATTATGTGTAAAATTTCACAGGTTATAGTTTTTCTTGGAGAAATAAGTTTATAAATGTAATAAATGCCTCTTAGTTATGGTGAAATTAATTACAGTCATGTTTTAGATATTTATGATAATGTATGAGGCTTGACCCTAACAAGTCTTACTTTTCGGCCATTCAGGGGCAGAGGGTTGCGGTAGTTGTCTTGTATTGGTTGGCCTTTATCGTCTGTCAAATCCCGAAGTGCATCCAGCTGGAATATATCATCTCCTTATTAATCTAATGCACTCAATCTTCAACTTAATTTGGGTAAGATTTTGTAATTGCGAGAGCGTTATATTCTACACATAATAGTATATTGCCATTATTCGATCGAAGTTGTGAATAATCATTCGCTGATAATCACAACAACCTAATCAACCTAATAGGTTGTAATCAACCTAATAGCGTTATTAGAATTTGTCAATGATATTTGTACGAATAGTGAAATAGCATCACAAACAATATAAACAATACTGATAATAGGTCTATAGATACCTGGGCCTTGGAGACCGGCAGAGGCTGCTTGAACACGGTCCACACGACGACCTCGTTGCACACGGGCGTCGTAAGGCTGCCTTCGTAGCGGTAATAACTGCTCAGGTCGTCGGGGAGCAGCGACGACAGTGCGTAAGGGTTCGGCACATTCGCCGTGTAATCTGTTGTGAGGAGTAAGTTACTCATTAATTTCATGGTTAAAATAACACTTAGGCTTATTAAATAACTATGCCTCGCACCATCAGCTAAAATTAAGGGCATCAAATCAAGTATTTTTATAATTTTTATATTTTATAGTTAAGTGTTATAATTTAGAGGTATAACATTAAATGAGGTAAGCACGTGTGGGATGGAATGAATTTGAGACATGAAGATCGTCGAGTGAATAACAAGGTTTACGGAGTAGAGATTTCGATTCATCATTATGATGATTGCTGATATCTAAGAGCTAAAAATGCCATTCAAACTCATCGGCGTGAAAATATAAATGGAAATGGAAGTTTAAAATTCAAACCTCGAGTTCTTAACATAGAAGCAAAAAAGATGGCTCGTCTAAAGATGACAGTGTTTGCATTTACTGGATTAAGTCAAGTAACTATTAGCCCCAGCTCTGGCTTCTACGAATAATTGTGGGTGCTTACTGTTTTCTTTAGTGAGTTGAGAAGTGATATTTAGTAACCGGCTCAGGGCAGGATTGTCCGTCCTAGAAAGTTCGAAAAAGATTCCTAGTACCGCCAGGCCTTGACTTGTTTCGAGAGCATCGTCCACCGTCTGGCCTACTAACTTGTGCACGAGATGGAGCTCCAGAGGGTACCTGGCAATCACAAAATTAAGATTGAGGCACAATCCTGCAGAAGTGATTATTATAAATATGGCAACAATGTCGTCCGTTCAATAAAATTAAATATAACAGGAATAGAAAGGGTAATGAAAAGACTCACTGCACAGTATTTATGGTATGTTCAGATCCCTTGGTCTCGTCAGACCCCCAATGGAAGTGGAAGTTCAGAAGCTCGTATGGGGATGAGAGCCCGCCGCTAAATATGCGAGGCTTCCTCAAGTACGCAGCAGTGACTGAAACTTATTATAGGAAATAAATCAATTAATTTCTTGTTGTACTCAACAATAACAAACTTATTATAGGTCATGTTTCAATTAATTGATGTTCATAGTATGAAATAATGACAACAAATGTTTGTGCACTAAAAGAGCTGATAGCTTTTTTACACTGTTAGAAAAATGACCGTTAACGGTATTACCGGCGTTTCAGTGGCCGGTCGGCACGTGAAAAGAAACACCGTGTCGCCGTTTTTATTCTAATTTAACATTAGAAACCCGTAAAACATATGATAAAAACGGCAAAACAGTTTATTTTCACGGGGCGACCGGCCACTAGAATGCCAGTGGGACCGTTTTTTCACCGTTTTTTCTAACAGTGTACATAACACAACGAAATGAATGAATGAGATTTCTTACGAGTGTGAAAGTTGTTTACAGCCGTCATGGACGTAGGCACCGTGTCGTAGCCACTGAATTTCAGTGGCAAGAATGTGCCCAGCCACTTCCAGGAGGTTTCCTTCTTCGGGATGTTGATCGGCGACTGGCGATATCCAGCGCAGTGCAAGGGAAACTCCAAAGGCCAGTTATTTTTTGCTGAAATTTTTAAATATTAATTATACTTATTATATAGGCTATTTTTGTTGCAAATTTCAATTGGACCCTCATTATTGTTGATATTTTTACTTTCAATTTCAATTGCAACCAAATTTTTTGGCTATTTTTACTGGAAATTTAAATTGTATTCTAATAAAGAACTGCGTATTGTTTGTTGATGAGCTCTTACTGTTTTATCATTTGATTTTGCGAAATTTAAAACGTGCTTCATTTGCTAGCGTTGTCATACTCACTGGAATAGCTCCATTTACTGGCTTCCTCTCCTGTGCGAAATAAAAATATGTTGAATGAAAAATATTAAGAAAATTTCCGAATAAAGTAGGCGTAATAATATTAATAGAATTATTCCCAAATTATCTACAAATGATTGCAAGAGAGCGAAGAAAATTCTGTCGAACTCTTTATGCGAAAGTATAACGTGATTTAATTTGTATATACCTGATGTGATGAAATATAGAGTAAGTATTTAATGTAAAGGTTTTCATTGGTTGGATCATAAATCCAAAATCAATTAAGAAAGACCATTGATTTTATTTATAATAAGAAAATGAACTCATTTGAACATTTACCACACTCTTTTTTCACACAAAATAATCAGTAGAGTTTTTGTCAATTTTCATATGAAAAAGTTCATTCCGAAATACTGAAACTAGCGAAGTTAAATTTTAATTGTACTTTATTTGCCAGGGTTGTCATACTTACTGGGGTTATAGCTCCATTGGCTGGCTGTCGCTCCTGTGTGGAATAAAAAATTATTGTTAAATAAACTGTGGTGCAAGCAATACAAAATTATTGTTAAATAAACTGTTGTGTAAGCAATAAAAAATTATTGTTAAATAAACTGTTGTGTAAGCGTCAACGAAGTGATGGAATATTGCATCGATCTACTTGGATTTGACAACACTGATGGACTGAAAAAATTACATCGTGAAAACTGCGCTTCGATGAAGGATTTCTTTAGATAATTTCGCCTTTACAATCACAAGATTAAATTCCCTCCCGCAATTTGACTCAAATAAAAATTTCAATTACATTCATTTAAAAAAACGGTTTATTATAATAAAAAAGATTTTACTAGATTTGGAATAGTTATGGGTTATAAATGAAGAATGATAGCGAAGGAATAGTTTAAATAATGCAGTAAATAATGTTTTCAAAAAATAAACTGTGTTAAAAGAGTAGCGAAAATTTCACCAGATTCACGACAACAGGCCTCAACAATTCGACTTACCAGCGAATATGATGAATGAAATAAAGCTCGGTAGAAGTAATGCGACCATCTCGGTTGGCTGTTGTTGTTGGACTGACGATCGCTATAATGTCTGTTTAGATCGTCGGTAGATAATACAAGTGTTTGGTAAATACTGACTGTTTCACTCGTGGATGTGAAATGTTTCTCCGGTTGACGTCGAAATCAATACCTCCATTTCACGCGTGTATATTAGACTCGAATTTGATCAATTCCAAACTAATTTTAATGCTTATTTCAGTCTTATTAGCAATATTACAGAGCATAAAAGCTTGTCATGAAATATTCGAAAGTTTGGTTTGATAATATCATCTTCACGACCCCTAGATTATATTCACCCTCGTATTTAACACGAATTAGAAATTCCACGCATTTTTAATCTGAAGAAGCGGCTTAATATTACTAAATATATTCGTTTATATCTGAAATATTTATGATACCTACTGCCTAATGGCGAATGAATAATTAAAAAATGCAATAAATAATGTCCTCGCAAATAATAAGCTATCAAAATAGAAGGAAAAATTTCACCAGAGCTTCATGTGTCATGTGCGACACGTGACACAAACAGACTTTTTTACACACGTGCATGGTATGACAAGAAAACAGTTTTTTTTATAAATATCAACATTTTATTTCTAAAATTTATATTTTTCACCAGAAATATTCACAACTCACATAATAAGCTTCGGTCCTATTGTTTACCATTGATTTACGCGGTCGATATTTCAAAACAATCAAATCTGATAACGCCTTTACAACGCGTCTTCTCTGATCAATACTTTGAAATTAAGGGACTGAATACGTTCATGCTGCAATTAGAAAGTTTGATTTCTTTTGCCCGGCGAATTTAAATTTACATTATGCTGCAATTAAAAGGTTTGAATTCTTTTCTCTGACGAATACCAATTTCTAAAAGAATATTGGCATTTCTGTCATGTATGAGACACCTGAATTTAAATTTTTTGTTTCGCTTACATCTTGTCTGATATTTCGTCAATGTTGATTTATTAGCAATTCACATGCTATTGGCTTTCAGGGCCCCTGTCACATGTGGTCGAAAGAGGCAACGATAAAACCTTATGAAAGAATATTCACAATATGCTATTGATGGTGGTGCATTTTGTAGCGACGGAAATTTGTTTTTTGAACATTCAACTCATTTGAATTAACTGTTCGAATCCATATATCGATTGTGATATATACAAAAAAATCTGTTGCAGATATCACGCACATATTCGTTGATATTACACTCTTGGAAAGCTGCTGAGTATGAAGTTAACTCGTGAAGTTTTCGAAGTAAATAAAATGTTTACTCATTCATTTTACTTGTACAAGAACAATGTGGCTTGCATACCCAAATATAAGGCATTAGACTTATGTTTCATGACTTATAATATCTCCATAATTCGAGGGGTAAACATTAAAAATCGAAAATCTCCCTCAAAGGGAAAGATAAATTTGTGTTCACCAAAAAATTTAACGTCTTGTAAATTCAGCGTATCTATATTGCAAACGTTTCCGAGACCATGCTCCATCAACTGTTCAAAAGGTTTGATAACTTAAGTAAAATCAATGAAGAAAAGACCAAAAGAAAGAGATTTATCCTTAAAAACGAAAAACGGACCAATGAATTTGTGAAATGTATCCATTAGCGATTTCAAAGGAACAAGAACTGAAGCCTGAAATTGGGTTTTAGTTCAATAAGTTAGGCTTATGTCTATCTATTTAAAGTTTATTGTCTACAGAAGTGAACTGTTGATATACAGTATATGGTCTCGGATATTAAACATTCGAAAAACTAAAAGTTCGAAGCAAAAATTTCACTTATGAAAAATAACTAAAAAAATTTAGCGCCAAATTTTACTGCTTATATTGTTTATACTTTATAGTTTCTCTTATAATTTAACGGCTGCGTTTGGTGATAACCTGATTACAATTCTTATTTATAGATGCACTAACGATTTTGCTATTATATCATCGAAAATGCTGATGTAAAACTCCGTGCTTATATAAATGGTCGACTGTAATAGAGTTCATGTATGTGATGCGGTGGATTTGTTAGTTATTATATCCTTGGTATATGTTTCGGACGTAGCAGTCCCAGGCCACGACGGATCGCGCATCTGACAGCAGATCTGTTACGTATTGGGAGAATCCTGCACAGTCTCCCCCTTCTATCGTTATGGTTTCGATTTTGATATACGTCCATACGAAACTGCGATCGGGGTTTGCTTATATCAAAAGCCCAACAGAAGATTCAGTGGTAATGCTTGCATGCCGATGGAATTTAATTCAACTAGGTAGAGAAGTATAGAAAGTGAGTGAGCTACATTTCGAGCTTCCTCTCTGTCGAAAAGTGTTCGAGTATATATTCCTTGTGATCGTTCTGTTTTCTATTACGATCATTAACCTTTTTACGCCTTCTTGAAGTGCCATGAGAATAATTAAATGAATTTATGCTTCCATCATCCATTCCTCGCCAGCCTCGTTGAAGAAGCCAGGTCATTGCAGCGCGCCAGAAAGCAGCGCTACTTAATATCTAATTAAATTCCTGTACTGTCTCCCGACATGCCTTATAATCGAGGAACGACAATGATTTATACAATAAGATCTCATCATAAGGTACCCATGACAATTAAAATGTACTTGCATCAATAATACGGTAATTAATGTATATGGTAATATCATATCAATAAAGAAAAACCAGTAAAAATCACAGAAAATCTCATTTATTCTACCTCTACATCATCTACAATGAAAGAGGAGGACTTCAGAGTACTGTAAGTGACACATATTCGCTCAATGTTTGTCATTTATTCTTAGCATTGAAAGTTTACAATAAGTTGTCATTCTTGGCTGATATGTGAATATCTATTTAAAATTATCACTCGATAATCCATGATATGTTTTTGAAACTAAACGCATACGTGAAGATTATGTTAAACAGAAGTCTTTTAATTTTCAGTCTCGGGCTGAAAGCTGTAAAAATGGTTTGATTAAAAATCGTTTAAAAGGAAATTCGTTTGGATTATGTCAACATAAAAATCATAGTTGTAAAAAAGTTCACAAAAAATTATTTCAATTAATAAAGTCAATCATTCAGCATTGAAAAATGGTTGCTTTGAACATTACTTTACAAGCTATTCAGCTAATGGATTTCATTGTTCCTATTTCATATTATGCGAAAGAGATCAGCCAACTAATGACTCAATTTTCGCTCGAAATAATAGCTCATAAATTGGATGCAACGGTTGCTATAAAATAAAAAATAAAATGAGAGTATTCCCGGTCAAAATAATTTCCTGCTGGACCCTTCCCGTTTAAAAATTCCTCCCACAGCATGAAGTTTGAATGATTGATGTATTCCAGTATTAATGGTGAAGTTTCACAAATCAGTGTTCTTCTGTATTATTCGTTGAAATAAAATTTTTATCTACAGAATAGGCAATAAATTGATGCAATTTTTACTGTTCGTTCCAGTTGTTTATGGCTCCTCGCAATGAGTTGAAAATGAGCGATTTCAAAAATAAATATACTTTTTCACTCTACCAGCCAGGATAAGAGAGTCAGAACGCGTGTCTGACGTAGTTACTCTTAGTAATTTCAGTTTTTTAAATGCTGAAGGGGAAAAAATATTTTGATGGTTGACTAATCTAACTCTAACTTTTCAGAAAACTCGTATGTATTCCGTAATCCGTATAGCCTCCACTACCACTAAGCAAACTATGAAATAAAGTGATTGGTAGGGATTGCGCATGAGAACTTGAAAACTATGTTAGGGAAGTAAATTTCATTGTATAATGATATCTCAGCCATGGGGCACTACATGTTATAAAGTTATAACAAAAAGTTTATAAATTGCGGCAAAGGAGTTATATGTTATAACATGTTCTTCAATATAAATATTATTTTTTTTAGATATTTCCTTGCATTTCGGTTAAATTTATATTCATGGAAAACTTTCAATGGATTTCCATGTATGAAATCATTCTCGAGGCTCGAACAAATGTAAAAAAAGAAGCATCGTAAGCTTTTCAACAACAAAATAAAAGTGCAGAGATATATTTAATTTTATCTTAAAATACCTATACCTTTTGGAAAAAATCAGAGATATCAGATATTGTACATCTTGCTCATGAATGGATTTCATTCAATTGGACCTGATAGCTGGCAGCCTACAATAGAGACTAGACTCACAGCGTAAGTTCGTAACAGGGCAAAACAGGCTACAGGCTGGCTGCATAACAGGCAACCGCAGTCCAGTGCCGCCTGGAACTTGTGGGTGGAAGGTGTAGTGATATGGCATGTGCCAGACGTATTTCTTGTGTGTCCAGAGTGGGTTCAATTTCCAATATATCAAACGAATTAATCCTTTCCAATTAAAAATTATTCGGTTTAGGAGGCGTTTGCACTCGGCTTATCTCGTGCCCTATGTATTTGATTGCTATCATAATGTAGAATTTCTTCGCCGACTGGACGGTTGAGAAGAATTCCAGTGGCCTCAAGTCATCTTGTCCTGGGTCGTGTACCTACCATCTTTGCTGTTCTCTGCCACTCTCACGGCTTCCATTATTGTGATTACTTACTTTTATGGAGTCATGGGTGAAGTGCTATGATTACGTTGTACTCAGCACACTTCAGGATCAATTACAGTATGAATAGACAAGGACTCGGGAGTAAAAGCATAACTGTGCTAAGTGGGTGTGCTTCGAGTTTTTTCTGATCACCCATGACTGATGACTCCTACGTAGAATTTGACTGGCACAATATTAGGTATGTACTCTCGAAGCTTACTTTGCACCACATCTGTCAACTAAGGCCATACTTTGAGCCTTCTATTGTGGAGTCGCAAGTTTTCTAAAAAAAATCATTGTTAATAAATTTAATGTATCGATGTCCATTAGATACTCGTTAAATGTGACCTCCTGAATCCCTATATACCTTCATGTTACCTACATTCTAATCATCCTTTACGGTCCTCAGTTTTTTTAACCGTATATACTCGAGATGACTTCATCCCTCAGCCACAGGGCCGTGCTATAAAAAATTGTTTAAGTTCACGTAGTGGCCGATTTCTCGTTGGAGATTGGTGGGATCAGCTTGAGAAGCCGTCTGTACGGTCAGTTATACCTAAGCTGACGGTGTAATGAACTCAGAACGAGATAGAAATACCCTACAGTTTTTGGTCAAGCAAGTGTGACGTCAGACTTGATTGTAACCTTTGGCTGTAAGAAGAGTTCTGGCTCTTTCATTCAAAATGAATCTTATCGGGATATCTCGGCCACCGATTTAAATTTTACAACATTTGTGAAACATGAAAAACCTGATAGCTGAAGCCATAAGTATTAATTTGAAATGTATCGCCTAACATGACACGTTCAGTGTTCATGTTTATACTTCCGTTGGTAACGTTGCGCTGCAGAGGGCGGAAGGCGGCCGCTGTCGAAACGGTTGACCGAGCAATTTTTGCGCGGCAGGTGAGGTGCCGTTATGCCACAAAAATTCCTAAGCGAGGCATGTGTTTGGGGTCAAATAGTCGGCAATCATACAGAAGATCGTTAAGCTTGTAGAATTGGATAACATGTCTACGGCTTGAAGGATCTTTGAGACCGTAACGTTCGTAAACTTGGAACTCGTGTTTGGGACCTAGTTGGCTAGATAGAGGATCGTTTAACTACCACAATGGATATCGATATTGGTATTCGTACCATTTCAGGGTGTTTTATTGTGCTGTTTGTCTGCTGTCTATTTTCAACGATAAATTTTTGTCAGCAACAGTTTTAGTGGCTTGCAAAATTTTTCGATAGTATTTAGTTATGAAAGGACTCGCATCAAGTATTTGTCATTGCCCCAACTTAGACCAGGTTCTTTAGTACAAATATCATTATTTTGATGTAAATGGAAATCAATTCGTACACTTCTATTCAATCTCTGCACGCCGTCTTCCTAAGGTGTCAGGACTGGGCAACAAGTTTATCGCGATTTGTATATTATACTTATATAGATGCAGGTAACGTTTTTTTCGCTATGAATTTCGGTATTTCCCACAATTCTTTTTAATTTTAAATTTTATTGCAAAATTTTCAATCTCTTATGTTCATGCAGTGAAACCGATCATTTCTTGAACCACAGTCGAATTTTTTCATATGATATCATATACCTAATTCGATTATGAAACAGATTTACTTTCGTCTCCTATATTTTCTTATCACGATTGTTATCCTCATAAGTATGCGAGGGCGGATTGTCGGGTCCATAATTAGCCTGATTGCCTTGAGTCGAGGAGGGGATGTGTACGTAGTGTTAGCCAACCATTCATCGGACGGGGATATTTGGTTCTACACTTGATAAGGAGTGTTAACTGCTACACGCAATACGCTAGTAGGTGTACATGATTGGTTCTCCGCCCTGATAAGGAGTGTTGATTGCTACACGCAATACGCTATAATAGGTGTACATGATTGGTTCTCCGTCTTGATAAGGAGTGTTACCTGCTACACGCAATACGCTATAATATGTGTACATGATTGTTGTTGACTGCTACACGCAATACGCTATAATAGGTGTACATGATTGGTTCTCCGTCTTGATAAGGAGTGTTAACTGCTACACGCAATACGCTAGTAGGTGTACACGATTGGTTCTGCTCTGCCAGGATAAATAGGTATAGGTACCGTAGTAGTTTTAACTGCAACATTGCTTTGCTACAAGCAATGCACTACATGTCCACCATATATATGAGTGTAAACCCATGTATACCCATATACATGGGTGCGAAAATTGGTGTAATTCGACAGAAGCCTTTCATTTATGCAAGTTTGATTGAAGACCAGAGAATGCTTTTTTTAACAATCTTCTTAGTTGTGTTTTTTTTCAGTGAGTCGAACAAAATTTCTCGCTGACGGCAGGAAATCTAAAAACAGGGTACCAAATGACATTTTAATGGCATGAGACGTTTCGAATATTCATTATCAAGCTGGTGAAGGATTTCGCAACCCTTGAGATTGAACTTTGGAAATGACTGTAGTAGGTACAAATCAAGGGTATTGTGAGTACGAAAAAACAATTAGGATTGTTAATAAAAAGCATGCTCTGGTCTTCAATCGAAATATACATGGGTCTACACCTGTATAGATATACCTAAACACAATTAGGTGCGCATGAGTTGTTCTCCTCTGCCTTGATGAGTGTTAACTGCTAGACGCAATATGCTAGTAGTATTGAATTACACGCTGTACGCAAGTATTAAATTGCACGCGATACGCAAGTATTGAATTGCACGCGATGCGCAAGTATTGAATTACACGCGATACGCAAGTATTGAATTGCACACGATACCGTACGCAAGTATTGAATTGCACGCGATACGCAAGTATTGAATTACACGCGCTACGCAAGTATTGAATTACACGCGATACGCAAGTATTGAATTACACGCGCTACGCAAGTATTGTATTGCACGCGATACGCAAGTATTAAATTGCACGCGATACGCAAGTATTGAATTACACGCGATACGCAAGTATTGAATTACACGCGCTACGCAAGTATTGTATTGCACGCGATACGCAAGTATTAAATTGCACGCGATACGCAAGTATTGAATTACACGCGATACGCAAGTATTGAATTACACGCGCTACGCAAGTATTGTATTGCACGCGATACGCAAGTATTGAATTGCACGCGATACGCAAGTATTGAATTGCACGCGATACGCAAGTATTGAATTGCACGCGATACGCAAGTATTGAATTACACGCGATACGCAAGTAGTGAATTGCACGCAATACGCAAGTATTGAATTACACGATTTATTCTTCTCTAAATTCGAGTCCCAAGCTTCCGAGTTTTTTATTAAAATAATTTTTAACTAAATTATGATGTTTACTATTCTGCAGACATAAAACATAGCATCGTCATTCTCGGATCAGCGACACTTTTGCTGAGATTCATGCGTGGTAAATTTGCTTATTGTTTGAGGTGAACCACTTCTCGAAATGCTCAAGCAACAGCTTTCAGATTTATTCTAAACAATAAGGAATCTCTCAATAAAGAATTGCGTGCTTTGGCTCAATGCTCATGGTTAGTTCGGCTATTTTTGCCGTGTGAATGTTAAGAATAAAGCGATAAAAAAGGAGTCGCTTAGGAGAAAGTGGCAACTCAAGCCTGAACTTCATGGCTGGCGAGATTTTTCTCTGACAGGCCAAGCTCTCCGTATTTACGCTATGCCGAAACTATAGGAAGCTGTTTCTTCCCATAATATTTTATTGCTCACGTAAACGCTGTATCATGTGTAGATTTTTTTCTGCTCATGAGCCAGATTTATAAATCCAACAACACAATTTTCCTACCCAAGACATTGGAATTGTTTTTTTTTCGTATCAATGAATCAGTAAGCATTTTCTTGAAATTCACACATAATGGAAGTTTAATTTAAGTGGGAAGTCTGTTTTTTTTTATTTCTTGTGCAGTTGTTTTGATTTTATCCTGCACTTTTATTATGACAGTTTGCCTGCAAGTGCGTTGCCCAGGCGGCTCACGGCTCACGATTAAATGTCTCATGGCTCATGAACGTTTCGTTTTGTTTACAGTTGATTTGAAAATATAATGCCAACTAATCGGTGGAAGAGTGAAATGGTATTGCGAGTTACCGGTAATTAATATAACACAATAACTACGTATGCATTGACAATTTGTTATTGTGAAAAAATTATTCATCTATATAAATTCTTCAAAATACTAAAATAATAAATCTTTTTCAAGAGAATGTTTTGAGCTTGAAAATATTTACGGATATTTATGCTGAAAAAGAAACTTTTTTCTTTTCCCGATACCGGTACACTGATATCGCGATCTCGCTGATTTCTTCGCGCCATATCTAGTCACCTCACATATAGTTACTCTTATTTCTTTTTTGCTCTTGCTTCTAAAATCTTCATGTTCTCGCTTGATTATACCGATCATTACTAGCCAGTTGACACCATATATTGTAATCCACATAAACCCCCTCGAAATATTTGGTCTCCCAAGCTGCAACTTTGTTCCATAATTTATAAAGAAATCAGAGCTTCTGCGTGCTTCCTCTGAAGTTCCTCAAGAATTTTTTAATTTTTTAAATCACTTGTTCACCTATAAAACTTGGTAGGTACAAGTTTTATAGGCGCTCCAAATCATTTTCGCTTCGTGAAACCAACGTGAGAACACAAACATTTACCCCCTCTGTATTTTCTATCAACATTCGTCTTCCCGAATAACTACCAAGTATAAAGTTCACAAGCTCACCGTTCGATCATCGTGCACCTGAAAATCCTTGCTGTATTATATCAGTAATGGGGAAAGGTGTGCCCGTGTCACCCAGCTCACCCCAAGGTCGTTTCACCCGACATGCCCGAGCTGTGGGTGTGTTGTGGTGTGTCTTCACCCTCTGCTTCACCATCATTGTGGCTGTGGTGTTCATGCAGCCACACTGGGTCGGCACAGCTACCGACACTGGGCCAGGTTAGTAATTTGAATATTGGTTGTTTATGCCTCTGTAAATATTAGATTACACAATTATGTCTTTAAGGTGATTAATTAGGGCTTATTCCTTATTAACTATTTTATGAATTTTGTTTATTTGTTACAGTCCACTCGGAAAAAAACTATAAATTCCATATTTTCAATGCTTGATACCGTACTCTACAACTATTTTTTTCTCTCGTCTGCCGTCGACTTGAAAAAAATTCGGGTGAGTGTCAGTGAGAATTGGGCAACCGTTACGCTATCCGTTGCAGGCGACTCGATACAATGAGGCATTGTTGAGGGAACCTAGTCGAGGACTGAGCTTGGTGACGTAAAATTGTCACCTTTGACGTCTTACCTGCGCCTCCGAATGCCTTCTCAGGAATTAATTAAAAAAAAAAGTTTTGCAGAAAGAAATTCCTCCTTAGTGTGCTCATTATATTTAAATTAAGTATATAGTGTTGGTAATAATAATTAGTATAAACAAGGAATGTACGCTCGTTTTTCTAGCGATATTTGTGCATGTGACTGGCAAAATTCTTTATTTATAGACACTATTGCCAATTATAGACTAGCTATCATGATATTGAAAAGTTGCACGTTCTAATATTAACATATAAATTCTAAATAGCTCTTTGTTTCCTAAAATATTCTATATGAAAACCGGAACGACACACGTCAGGCTGAACGCCTCGATAAAACCACATTTTTAGAGTTTATCTTGCATTTTTAATTCCAGTTTAATTGCATCATCACAAAAACAAAAATTATCACAGAACTGGCATTTCTGAGCTAAATCTAGTAAATTAGTTCCGATTCTCTATGCCAAGCCACGTATAGTTTTGATAATTAAAGTATTCTTTTTTTTGTCTACGGTTTTGACAAGAAAAGTATATTTCCATGACGGCGCCGCGTGAGGTGCATGGAAGGTCAGTATACCAATTCATGCAGTTAATCACCAATTCAGCAGCTAATCATTCTTAGCGTGCGCTCTGACCTTGCCACTATTCTCACCCGGGCTGATGACCTTTGGCGCCTGGGCCGTAAAACGTCCATTATTTATTTTATGATTTTTATTTCTTCATTATTTTACCTCTAATTTCTTATTTTCTTCCTGTGGAAAACTTTACTTAAAATTTTATGCTCTGCTTATTACATGAATAGTTTTACGAACTTATTTTGGTAATCCAAGAAAACTTTCAATTTTTAATGTGTTATTTCCCGTCAGACGTAAATTTTTTATGCATTGTGTTGACTGGAGTATTGATGTAATCAGATGCCAATTATACAAGACGAACCTAAACCTGAATAATTATTGATCGCAACTTTAATGCGAAGTCGGCACCAGCTTCTCAGCTTAGACGTTATCAATTCATTTGTGACAATTGGAAGGCTTTCCAGGCCTGCGCACTTGCGACGCGCACACTAGCGCAGACTGGGATCAGTTTGTGTACTGAAAATTTTTTATGTGTTCGTGTACTTTGTATCTGTGCAAACAATCTTTTTGTATCTATTTGTGTGTTTGAGTATTTAATCCTTTGTTTATTTTTTTCTCTTAAAAATTTGAAATGTGTAGGTCATGTTGTTTGAACGCAGCGTAGTTAAACTATCTAACGTATTTTGTTATTAAAATCCGCAAGCAGTAAAAGATAATATTAATAATAATAATATAATATTAATATATAGTATAGTAAAAGATAATATTGTATATTGTAATTATCACGCCTGCTTTTGATGGGTGTGATCTCCTCTAAATGAAATTCATTCATTACCTGCTTACTAGCTTGATTACTCACAGGTCTTTCCGTTTGTTCATGTCTACAGTCACCCTGACTTTGTTACTCATCAAGTTCTCCATTTGTTCATGTTCACAGTCACCCTGACTTTGTTACTCATCAAGTTCTCCATTTGTTCATGTTCACAGTCACCCTGAGTTTGTTACTCATCAAGTTCTCCGTTTGTTCATGTTTACAGTCACCCTGACTTTGTTACTCATCAAGTTCTCCGTTTGTTCATGTTTACAGTCACCCTGACTTTGTTACTCATCAAGTTCTCCATTTGTTCATGTTTACAGTCACCTTGACTTTGTTACTCATCAAGTTCTCCATTTGTTCATGTTCACAGCCATGTTAACTGTGTTTATCATTTATTTATAAGTTTGTTCGCGTCCAATATCATCCTGACTGTGCCTTTGATTGCTTGTCTCGCTCGTTCGTTTCAGGTCACATCGGCTTATGGCGCTGGTGCTCCACCGTCTCTCTTGACCCAAACAACTCCCCCGATGACGTCATATGTTCAGGAGAGTTGCTAGATATCTTCAACTTCTTCAGTTCAGATGGAGGAGGTGGCTCTTCTCCCAATCCCGGCATCGTCAACAACACGCCTTTTAAGACAGCATTTGTGAGTGTTGGGGTAATGAAGGGGGTTTATGATATTAAAATAATCAACAAGTTACCAAAAATGTCGCACTTGTAGACTATGGAGTTGGTCCAAAAAGTTGCCACCATAAACAACACCCCTTTTATGGCAGTCTTTCTGAGTGATGGCAACATAAACTTAGCGAGAAATAAGTTACTGTAATGCCTAATTTTTAAGGTATCAGTACATATCTATACCGGTAGGCGTTTACCTCTCCATCAACAGAAAAATCTTGAAAATTTTTATTCTACCTTCACCGTTCATGAATTCGAATTAAAACTGCTTCTCACTATAAAAAAATATATAATTTCAGCGGTCCAATGCTTTTTCCAGAAAATTATCTGTGCTAAGAGAATTTTATCCTGAAATTGCTATCCTCGACTGATTTTCGTCTGCGAGAGCAGTTACGTGAGGCGAGCGATTTCCCAACAAAGGTTCGTGTAAGAAACTTACCTGTATTTCTCGCATAACAATTCTTGCTCAATTTTAGACGTTGCTTATGCAGAAGTACAAGAGTGTAATTCTCGCGAGCATCAGCTGCATCAGTACATTACTTAAACTCGTATAATAATTCTATATTTTATCAGCAAATGGATGATAATAAGAAGCAAGGGTATAATGTCTGCCTCTAATTAAGAAACTACCGTACTTGTATTCATCACAGTCGCGTATCATTCATACCTTGTAACTGTATATAGGTATATGAAACGAAATATACAATAATCTGAAAGTGTTTCTTGTTAATAAGACTGTTGAAATAATAACGGCAAGTCGCAATACACAGCAAACTTCACTCTAATTAGACAATTTTTTCTTACGACCCAGTTGCTGGTTGGCTTAGCGCTGCTGGTGTCTGTGCTGTCGCTGTCAGCGATGTCGCTCTTCTTGTGCCTCAAGACGAGCACGGTCTTCCACATCGCCGGCTGGATGCAAATCATCGCGGGTGAGTAGCATTCATCGGGTGAGTGCAAATCATCGAGTAGCATTCATCGAGTGAGTGCAAATCATCGAGGGTGAGTAGCATTTATCGGGTGAGTGTAAATCATCGTCGCGCACTCGCGCACCACCGCGCAGCAGCGGTCCCGTGGTGCGTGCCGCGCACTCGCGCACCACCGCGCAGCAGCGGTCCCGTGGTGCGTGCCATGCACTCCTGCACCACCGTGCAGCAGCGGTCCCGTGGTGCGTGCCGCGCACCACCGCGCAGCAGTGATCCCGTGGTGCGTGCCGCGCACTCGCGCACCATCGCGCAGCAGCGGCCACGTGGTGCGATGTAGGTCACGGTGCTCCGGCCACCGCAGGTCACCAGGTCGCAGCCGGCGTCGCAACTCTTAACTTATTATGCCTACCAATTAAACTCAAGCGCACGTATTTCACATGCATAAGATGCCAATGACATAACGTCATTTGTATGCTTGCAACTTGAGTTTTGTCGTTCAGTTAGCCCCTCGACCTATTCTCTACTTTATATTTGTAACGACAATAATTCTCCCTACTTTATATTTGTAACGATAATATATAACGATCCCTATATACGTTAATTAGTGGTTTCAGCATGTACGAGGTTCAATTTATAACCTTGCTGGGACGTGGTTATTATCTATAATATCTATGCTCGTTGATTGTTTTTCGTTCGTGGTTATAACGCGGCAAAAATAGACTAGAATATAATATGACAGCAAACATGATTATTTAAACCAAATATACGTTCCTTTTCCTACTGAACTAATCCTATTTTTTTGCATCGTTCTTCCTGCTATGGTATAGAAAGCCTTGCTTCATAGCTCGTACAATTTTTTCGTGGTAAACTTTACATGACGGGACTCCATAGACATACATTTACTTTAGAAAGTCTTGTTGCTGCTGAATGCACTCGTGTCGTCTGGAAGGAAGCTTGCGTCGTGCAGACAGAGAAGTGGAATGGGGACGACTGCCTATGGAAGCTTGTAACCACTTCTCTTCCTCCGAGGAGATATCCTCTGCCGGTACTTTCATTTACTATGACTACAAACTAATACGCCATGCAAATTTACTCCACGACTTTTTTTGGGCCCGTAAACCTCCATTTAATTTCCACAATCCGAGAGCAAAATCTAAACTTCGTTAGATTTCGTGGCGACTTCAGATAATCAAAAAACATGGCGGGTATGTATTGAATAACTTTATAGCTGATGGAACAGTGGAACTTGTTTTCAATAAAAGACCCTTAGCTTTCATCTGTTCGTAAAACTGTGTACGAATATTTGGTGCTCTTTGTCGTATTCGGATTGTTGGTCACCACGATTTCAAGGATATTTTGTGCTGTTTGTCGTGAGTAAGAACGTTTAATACTGATTGCTGAAACAGTGTAAGCGGCGTGACTAGATAGTACAATATTTACAACAAAATTTACTGCTGTTTTTCGTAAAAAAGTCTTCATATTTTTGCAAGAGAATCGCATCGAACCACTCGTTTACTTCGTTTAAAGCTTGAGTGGGTTTAATTAGGAGGATAGGGCGGAGGTTTACGATGAAAAAGGGGGTTTAGGTCACGCAGTTGAAGTTAGCCGCGGGAGACTGGCCAAGTTTGAGGTCACCGTGTGTTCCGAAACGGTTTTGTTGAGCGAGTCTTCGCCGTCCTACATTCCCTGGTCAAGCTTTAATTGATCCTGCAGGAGTAAGCCATTCCTCATAGCTGTTATTCCGAGCTGTTGCTATCAAAGAGAAAGCTTATCTCAATTTCAAACTTTAAAACATGGCTGTTTCATCGAAAAAGCGATCAATTGATGCCGTTTTCAATTCACAGCACACGTCTCTTTGTATATCTAGCCTTCTATCCGCAGTAGCCCCTCTCTCTGCTCAGCAGTCTTTTCTTGGTATCAGCTTTCGATACAAAAGTGTTTCTCTACAAATAGCAGCGTTCACTTCGAGGTAACATTCCATTTACTGGAGTGCTGCAGGGGCCGTCTTTGTAGCAGCATTCTGTTCACAGTAGTCTTTTGTTAGTACCAGCTTTCGATTCGTAGCCACATTCATGACAGCCTCCTCCTATTACTAACTTTGTTATTATTGATCTTTCATACAATAAAGCTTTCAATTTCCAGTCACACTCTCTTGGCAACAGTGGCCTCTAACTAACGTTTTTATTGTTTGCTTGCCTGCTGGGCGCCGCAGTCTGCATGTACATGAGGCAGCCGGGCCCTAACCTGCCTGGTGTTGCAGGTTGCCTGCTGGGCGCCGCAGTCTGCGTGTACATGTGGCAGCCCTAACCTGCCTGGTGTTGCAGGTTGCCTGCTGGGCGCCGCAGTCTGCGTGTACATGAGGCAGCCCTAACCTGCCTGGTGTTGCAGGTTGCCTGCTGGGCGCCGCAGTCTGCGTGCACATGAGGCAGCCCTAACCTGCCTGGTATTGCAGGTTGCCTGCTGGGCGCCGCAGTCTGCGTGTACCCGCTAGGGTTCAACACCAGCGAGGTACGTCATCTGTGCGGGCCTACGGCGCGTCAGTACAACGTCGGCGAGTGCAGCATCCGCTGGGCATACGTGCTCGCCATCATCGGTACGATATTCTTATTTATTTTTATTCTACCAATTAAATATACATAATATTTCCTATCACGTAATGTATAATTGTGTCATACAATTGTTACTTAAGTCGATAATTATCGATCTCAACATTTTTCTCGGGAGTTTTGTGGAAAATATTGATCATATGTCGATTATTCCATTTAATTTGGATGCAAAATGATCGATCTCGAGTTTTTTCTTGAAAAATTAAAAAATATTGAAGTTGTTAATGTCAGGTACTGTCGATTTTCAAGTATGAATTATCTTGATGACAATCATAGTTTCTTACGTTGGCTAGAGCCGGAAAATGTTACCCAACTATTAGCCTTCCTTTATTATTGTTCATTGCAGTTTAAATTTTAGCAGCTGGTTAGATTTCAGTTACCGCAATGGCCTCGATGAATAATTGATGGGGCATTGATGCTAAAATTTTCGTATCGGCGTCCGTTACGAGCCTCGCGAGAGTACGAGACGTTCGTACGAGTAGCAGATGTGCGTTGCTAACACACCAGATCTGTATTATTACGATCATAACACTTTATTAATGAACTCATAACACTTTATTAATGAACTTCGGTATGATAAAACCTTGATACATCTGACAGGCGTGTTCGACGCTGTGGTTCTAGCAGCGCTGGCCCTCGTCCTCGCTACCAGAACCGTCAAGCCCGTCGTGGAGAGCATCTATGCTACGCCTGAAATATACAAAGGTGGGTCGACTAGTCGCGCCTGAGATATACAAAGGTGGGTCGACTAGTCGCGCCTGAGATGTACAAAGGTGGGTCAACTTAATGTGCCTGAGATATACAAAGGTGGGTCAACTTGTCGCGCCCGAGATATACAAAGGTGGGTCAACTTGTCGTGCCTGAGATATACAAAGGTGCGTCATCTACACCATGCCCGAGATACATAAAAGTGGTTCATCTACCATGCTCGATACTTATGCAAAAGTTATGCCTGTTCGCTGGACCCAACTAAGCAGGTCCATGAGTCGTCAACATTTCAATCAATCGAAGAGGAGGAATAAGACATTGATGCTGGTCTTATCCTGTGTCGCGTGCAGTCACATTGTGTCTTTTCTGTCGCAAATAGTGCTAGTGATAGTCGGCTGTCGGTGCTAGTGATAATTGGCGCTCTGGGCTAATGATAGTTGGCTCTCGGTGCTAGTGATAGCCGGCTCAGTGGTACTGATGTACCGTTCATTAGTTCCCACCTGGTCGTAGCATGTCGGTGCCGAACAAATTTTGTCTTGCAGGTGAGCTTGGCAACGGTGCGTTCATGTCGGACGGCGCCAGCCTGGCAGCTTCAAGGAAATCTTTGAACCTTCAGCCTGTGATGATGATGCCACCAGCGCCATCTGAACACGACACCTACGGCCGTCACTACCACCTATGAGCGTTACGCCATTATCTGAACCCGAAATCTTAGCCGCCATTATCTTAACCCGACATCCGCGACCACCACTATCTGAAACAATCACCACCGGCCACCACTATCTGAAGCCATCACCCGAGGCCACCACTAACTGAACCCGACATCCTCGGCCACCACTTTCTGAACCCGACATCCGCGGCCACCACTTTCTGAACCCGACATCCGCGGCCACCACTTTCTGAACCCGACATCCGCGGCCACCACTATCTGAACCCGACATCCGCGGCCACCACTATCTGAACCCGACACCCGCGGCCACCACTATCTGAACCCGACACCCGCGGCCACCAATCCCCCGTTGCCAATTCAAGAAACATAACATTGTTGTTTAGCCCCTCTTGCGTCTGCATGAATGTTTTCAATGCTCAAAGTATGAACGAAAAGATGTCTTCTATCCTAAGGTCTGTGAATTTGTGATAGTTTCTAAGTTTTTTCTTGAACAATTTTAACTTTAATCCATAGGTTGAACTAAAATATGTGAATTGTCGGCTTAAATGGTTTATTATAACTCAAATTTCATGTGGCGTTTCTCAATTAAGAGATAAAGGGGGTTTATCCAGGGTTTAGATGAAATCTTTTATTCTTCTTCGCCGACGTGATGTTGATTAATTAATTAATTTGATTAATTTGGATGTTATTAATATCGCAGTTGGGGATGAGCCGCGCTATTGGTTCCTTGTTCTCTGGGGCAGGATGAAGTACCTACCCCCAATTCACGAGTCATTAATGTAATCATTTCAATCGTGGACTCCAATTGTTAGATATGTTATCCAATTAAAGTTGTGAAATTTTAAACCATATTTCACTCCCTAATTCGTGAATAAATTGTTGAGTATTGCTAATGAATTCACAGTTAGATGGCACGCTTCCGATCAGTTGGTACCATCCCGTCGCGGAACCTGGTAACAGCGACTAAACTAATCTTGTAAGAGGTAATAAAATATCCTGTGATGATACCTATTCTCCGTATTCAGCTCGTCTAAAAGACCTGGTTACCAAGCAAATGTATGAGAGAAATGGGCTCATCTTGGAGTGCAGCATGAAAACGCGTCAATTCCAACCTCAAAATTTTTACAGTCCCTCTCAACAAGAATATGTAATTTAGTTGGTGAAAAGTTGAGCACAAATTCTGGCTGAAGAAACGAATGACGCACCTGAGAATTTAAATTTAAAATACGGAGAGCTAAACCGACAAAAGGCTTACTGACAGCGTTAGCAAAGCACGTTGACATCAGCTGGAAGAGCTCTGAAACATTACGGTTATCAACAGAACGACATTGCAACAGCAGCTTGGCTAAATAAATTCACGATTGGGTTTAAAATGTATTTAATTCGTTATCACGTGTTGGAATAGCACAAACAATAATGATATCTAGACAATAGAACAGCAACCATTGACCACACACGTACATTGTATTAAGTTGACGGAATAAGTAAGGTTAATCACCTTAATGCCCCTGGCGCAGTACTTTGGACGTCACAACAAAAGAAATTACAAGGTAGTTATTAATTTAGGCCATATGACGGAGCGTAATGTGCTTATATTGTCCAGGTCCCTTTCATCACCCATATGGAACACGGTGACGTCATCACTGCATAGCCATTAACACGTAACACAATATCCTACACAGAGCTTAAGACTAGTGGAAGCATCAACGAGCACGATGACCAGGAGCCGCAATATCAAAAATACTCGAGAATTCGTAACTCGGTCAGCCAATCACCGACGTCTTTTTGAAGTAAATCCACCAATCACAGTCGAGAAATCTGCCGCTACGTGCACTTAGGCAGCTGTGTGTACTCAAGCGAGTGTTGATAGCACGGCTCCAGGACAACGGCCATATAAAGATCATCCTAATTCTACGGGGAGAAATTAAGCTCCTTCCTTCTTCATATCTTCATCACAATTGACAATTCCGCAAAACTGAAGACATTTTTTTTACAAGTTTGGTCGGTTTTTTATACCTCCTTCTTGTAGTGCCATCAGCAAAAAACATACTATCTTTATGTTCTAACGTACGAATTTCATAACACTCCAAATCACATTTCCTTAGAATTTACAGCATACAAATGTATATCTTTCATTTCAAAATCTTTTGCGCGGGATAAATTTGTAGGCATTTTCTCAGTTAGATTAATAATTAATTTCAATATACTTAATGTTAAAATAGAATGTATGCTTGTGCTTCCTTACTCGTCATGCTTGCACCTCAATGCAATCGAGAAGAATTAACCCCCGGATTAAAGATTTTTAAGTAGAAACAGCGATAATTTCTCACGCTATAGACACGCAAGCAGTAGAATATGATCAAAACAATTCATATTTACAAATCAAACAACCAAACAATTAAGAAATAACTATAAACAAAGATGCAAGAAAGCAAAGAATTATACAATATTCATTGCGTTAGTAAAAAAAGAAAGTATATCCGTGGCCATAACAGGGCAGACAATTGTATAAACAAGTCACTGAAATGCATGATGGCCAAATTCTGCCTAAAACAATATGTCGAGAACAAGTTGCGTGTTTAGTACAAATTAATAGCAGATAAGTAACATTATGTTCGGCAACATCAACGATGGAGGAAACTATAGGCCTTTTCAGTTTACTAAAAACCAATAAGAACGCGGATAATGCCTGATATTAATGCCCGATAACATAATGCGATGCATCAGTAACGCTAACTATCGACCGTTAATGGTGGACGCATCAGTGATCATCCAAAGCTACGATTTAGGTTTAAATGTGAAATGATTCTTTCTTAAGTAATCTTTAAAAATGTGGTTATATAAAACCAAAGCGAAGATCTACAAGCATCAACAACGGCCGGCAATTTGGCTGAGATTAAATTTAAGCCGCTACTATCTGCGCGGGGAAAGTCAACACGTTTAAGAGCTGATAGTCCCTATCTCGTGGAATATGCTCGCATTATTACGAACATACAACATTAGCAGCAATAATAAGACATCCGAAAACCCCAAACTTAACGTGCGAGGCAAATCCATTCGAAGCACAGACGATCACACGTCCTAAATGCAGATTGCCTTCCTCGATTTTTGAAGCTAGAAAAATAAAATCACAACGAAATATCCGTTATTGCTTCTCTCACAAGTTGCCTAATCAGGGGCATAATAGAAAGCACAATTAGGTAATTGAATTTAAATAATTTACCAATGAAGGATAAAATAATTTAATTATATTATGTGTTAAATAATAATTATAACAAGCGCTTAGCAGCGTGTCTCGCACCACAATCCCAAAACCAGCATGGACCGGGCGAGTGAGAAGGAAGCTCCGACGAAATGTCCTCTCAGAAATCCGACAGCTTCCTGTAAAGATCCGATAAACACCGCAACAGTGCATTTGTTTAGACTTTTAGAGGCTCAATCTTGCTAACTTTCAGGATGTTGATGCTGGAACCCCCTTTTATGCAGGGACAAAAGAAACGTAGAAAGAAACATACGAATGAAGCTTCTGATTAGTCTCTAAGTCACATGCGATTAAAAAATATACTTATTTATATTCATCATTCATTAATTCAACAGCAAATATAGGTTAGATAAATAAAGCTGCACTCACTAGCCAAATCATTCCTATCACCACGAGCTGTACATAAAATTAAGAGAAGAAGGTTGATCTGACGAACATTTATCACAAGTCATTTCGACAAGCTAGCTGATTATCTGTGAAGTAATTGGTTAAAACGTAAGAGGTTTATAATGTGTTGATCGACCTCAAGCAACAAATTATCATGGAATCATGCAACGCTAGGCATGGGAGATTACATTTGCGACATTGTCGTGATTACTCCCAAAGAAATGCCGCGTAAACGTAATTTATTTGGCATATAAGAGTCTAACATGCACGCAAGCAAGCAGTCCAGAATGCACGCTAGCATGCATAGAGACAATCTTACAAAAATTTGTATAACTCGACACACGCCGAAACTCAAGGATTGATACGATGAAGCATCATTCATGCCTTCCCAATATCATACTTAGCTCAGAAGAAAATACTGTACAGCATTAATGTTCATTATTATACACTTTTGATAATCAGGTTGAGCACTTCTCGTCTTGCTTAGATCACCAGAATACAAATAAACCAATAATTGAAACCCAACACCAAAATGCATCACACGTGCAGCTAAAGGCAAGTAATCATTCGTTATACATCAGCCTCAAGCTGATGAGCCATTATTTAAATAAAAACCAAACTCGACCCGAATCAATTCTCCTCTAATGAACTAATCACAAATTCTTCCGAAATTAGTGCGACAAGTTCCGAATACAAAGCGTCGAGTAGCCTTGTTTGTAAGGAGTTTTTCAGAGCGCTACAAGCACGATGAGGGCGTTGGCTGGAAGGTAACCGGCGCTCGCTGGCAACGACAGGCTGTCTCGAGAAGAACCTTACTATTGCGGCACTGTCTGCGTGCGGGGGCGGAGGAGGGTTTACGAACGATCACTGTGGGCGTCGTGTCACGGTAAGAGGCGGCGGGACCTATCAGGGCGAGATAAAATAATGACAGGGAGAACTCGTGTAACCCAAGACAAAAGGGAAGTGTGTGGAAAGTTATATGATTTGCAAGAGAGTGCGGGTGGTAAGAACCATGTGAATATTGAATTGCCAGGTGGCAAGAACCATGTGAAAATTGATTTGCCAGAAGGCAAAAACCATGTGAAAATTGAATTGCCAGGTGGCAAGAACCATGTGAATATTGATTTGCCAGGGGGCAAGAACCACCATGTGAAAATTGAATTGCCAGGAGGCAACAACCAAGTGAAAATTGAATTGCCAGGTGGCAAGAACAATGTGAAAATTGAATTGCCAGGAGGCAACATCCATGTGAAAATTGAATTGCCAGGTGGCAACATCCATGTGAAAATTGAACTGCCAGGTGGCAAGAACGATGTGAATATTGAATTGACAGAAGTTTAATTATTTCTCATGTGTCATAAAGTTTCATACCTAGCGGCAGACATTTGTAAATGGAAATGAAAGAGACCAAATGGAAATGAAAGAGTGAAAATATGTGTCAATATCAACGACAGAGGTATAGAAGACTATAAAATGTACAAAAAAGTGATATAAAACATCGGGTGTGAAATAAAAAAACACGCGTAGATAATAATACCAATGAAACAAGTGTCAATGAACAATTTCAAAATAACTTAAATAGCTCACACAAAATAATAAAAACCAAATCATAATGCACCATAGGAACAGCGTAATGAAGTGGACGAGTGAAAATGAAAGGCACCCCAAATTGCACACCTAATCCTCTAAAAAATTGTGTACCAGCGAAAGCAAGTCACTCAAATTTGTAGCGTGATCAGCGAGCGCCTTTTTTCACTGACTTTTTGAAATATGGCGAGTCGTCAGGGTGCAGCGTGTAGAGTGAGCGGCTGGCATACCTGTAGCGCGCTCGCACGTCGCCTGAGCAGTACTCGTTGACGACGAGCTTCACAAGGAACAGATGGAACGTTACGATGAGGGCTGCGATCGAGAGCCAGAAGAGAGGGGGTAACCGCCCCCACTTGTGGCCGTGCCGGTGCAGCGCGATCACCGACTGGTGATGACCGGGCGCTGCAATGCAAACACATATGTCAACAACTTAAAAAGAAATCGTCTTATTCAAAATTAAAAGTAAAGAAGTCACCTAATTAATTCTCCTTATCTTCAATGAAAGCGATAATTGGATAATTCTTGGTGAACTTGCGATTTAAACAGACTAATTACTATTTGAACTTACGATTTAAACAGAGTTTAAAAAGACTAACAGACTAATACTTATAACAGAAATGTGAAATAGAAATTTGTTCATTCTTTCACTGCAAATATGAAGCATACTTAGTAGCTGAATGATAGGACATAGGTGCACTCTGTAAAGCTAATTTTGGAATTACTTCTAGCCAATAAATAAGTTTGAAACTCGCTGGTATGGATGCCTAGCCAATTTTTGGTTTATTTTGAGCCAATATTTTAGTTTGATACTTGCTATCATAGATACCTACCTAATTTTTGATTTATTTTCATCCAGAAATGAGTTTGAAACTCCTGCATGGAAGCCCTACTAATATTGAATATAATTCAACCAAATGAATTAACCAGACCCCAGCTGCCACAGTCGCTAAGACCGACCTATGGCCACCTCCTTGACGTGGATGGAATGCTTGAGTTCCTCCATGTGCTGCTTGTCTGCCGTGATGTACAGCACCGCAGTCACGGGCTCAGTCAGCTTCACTGGGAACGGCTGTGCTTGCCTCCTGTCGTTCAGGATACATTTACGTTAATTGTGAGTTTAAGTTACAAGTGGTCATTTGCTCAAGTTTCATATTTATCGATTAGGTATGCCTCACGCTTGAATCCCTTAACTTGCCGGAAACCGACCATTAGTGAGTAAACTATTTGCTATATCATATAATTTCACAGACAGTTGTTATTGTAGCTAGACATATCATACCTACGAAGAAGCAACAATAATTTTGTATTGACATCAAAACAAATTAAATAATATCATAAACAAAATGAATAAAATAAAAGTAAATAATACAAATAACGAATCCCATGTTAGTCATCGAGATTGAGTACTAATTCGACAGTAAAATTAGAATGGAAAACACGGCATGCTAAAATAAATAAATCCATAAAAAAACACAGTTGGCTAAAATTGATTTATCTGAAAACTGACAACTATTAATAATGAGCATGAGAAACTGACCCCAGCTGTACAGGCGGGTCGAGGCAGCCGCCATCGCAGGCATAGAAGCTCTCACTCGCCGCCTGGTGGCCTTGGGCTCGCCTGTCGGCATCAGGAACATTCGACAAGAGCTCAACGCCACTGTACCCGTAGCTCTGCATGTAGATGTAGTTCACGTTGATGTGCTGACTTCCTTCTTTGCTGAAAAGCCCCTTCGATATTTCATCAATCGATTTATCAGATTTAAAAAAATCTAACGAATTCCCAGGTTTTATAATGCCAGCCACAGCGCTGTTTTTGCTGTCATTGCTGGCATCGGCAGGCATCTGTTGCTGCTCGAGCGTCAGCCACAGCAGTGGCTTGTAGTCGTGGTCTTGCACCTCCACACTCAAGTTCAGATGAACGTCAACGCCGTAGTAAAGGCGCCTGCGGCAAAATGATGCGATTTAATATTCATTATATTGCTTTCCTTCACTAATACATAATCTTTCCACCTGCAAGTTCATCCAACAGATATTATCATCATAAAAAGATGGAAACTTAGGCATGAAAGATAATCGCTGATGAATTTGGGGTGATTTATCGGCTCAACTTTAACGATGAGTTATCGATGGATTCTTTAAGATAATAAGGGGACGTTAGCATGACGAATCTGGCACAGCACGGCATAGTACTTAAGTAACAACCACGCACCTGAAAGTTAGATCACGATGCAGGTCACTAGCTTGAATGTTCATCTGGAGATGCAGGTTACGAAAATAACTACGGTAGGTAACAACTACGCACCTGAAAGTAATATCACGATGCAGGTCACTAGCTTGAGTGTTCATCTGGAGATGCAGGTTACGAAAATAACTACGGTAACAACTACGCACCTGAAAGTTAGATCACGATGCAGGTCACTAGCTTGAGTGTTCATCTGGAGATGCAGGTTACGAAAAGAACAACTACGCACCTGAAAGTTAGATCACGATGCAGGTCACTAGCTTGAGTGTTCATCTGGAGATGCAGGTTACGGAAGGATAGTCCGCCCATGCTGAGCAGCATCGCCTGTAGCACGCCATCAGCCCCAGCTTGCAGGAGACCGTGACATCCCTGCCAAGTTCTCAATGGTGACCAGGGCACACAAATTAACCTCGTGCAAGACAAGCCTAAACTTCAGAACAATACGCGGCTGAGTATAGATTATGGTAATTAGTACCTATGTCAATATCACAAGTGTTGTCATCGAATTACATTAGATATCTACACTTGATAACCGTCATGAAATGAATGTTGGTCATTGAGACAAGAGACAGCGACCAAACACGCGATACACGTCACAAATGTGACTCAATGAGACGTTAGATATCGAATTTGAGACGCTAGATATCAATCAATGAGACGTTAGATATCGATCACGTCACAGATGTGACTCAATGTGACGTTAGACGTACCTGCTTCTCGAGCGTGATGAGCCATGCCTGCACAGTCTGTTGCACGTCATCAATGGTGGTCAGGGGAGACCACAGCTTCTCCGCCTGACTGCAATGGCATCATAAACGTAAGCTGTCATCATAACTATAGCAATTAAAGCCACAGCAGTTCATATGAAACATCATATTCAGAAAATAATGTATTAAATAAATAACATGAAATTAAGTTGGTAGGTATAGAAAATAAAATCAAATAAAAGGGGTGTCATGACACAAAACATGTTTAGAAATAGCAACCGGATACATAAAGAGAAATAATGCGGTCAAATGAATACCGGTACCGAGTTTAAAGGCATTCCACGAATGCCAAATATAAACTAAACTCACAGAACTTGGTGAAAAAATCAGTAAAAACTAACAGCGTTTATGCGCGTAAAGTTGTGGAACTTCGAGAAAACTTACAGCGTGTGGTGCCCCTGGTAGCAGCCTTCACTGCGTCGGGGGCTGAGCTGCTGAGCGAGATCTGCCCACTGCTGAGGCGGCAGCGACGTTTCCTGCAACGGCGCTCGAACCTGCGGGTGAGGTAGCATTGTTTCAGCGTTGCTATTGCGCTAGTACTGACCGCAGGGGTAAAACAGCATTGCTACAGCTTTACCATTTCATTATTGCGCTGGTACTGACCACAAGGCTGAGGCAGCATTGCTACAACTTAAACATTTCATTATTGCGCTGGTACTGACCACAAGGGTGAGGCAGCATTGCTACAGCTTAACCATTTCATTATTGCGCTGGTACTGACTGCAGGGGTGAGGCAGCATTGCTACAGCTTAACCATTTCATTATTGCGCTGGTACTGACTGCAGGGGTGAGGCAGCATTGCTACAGCTGTATCGTTACATTTACCAATCCTTTCGTTAAGCAGCAGCCCCATCTAGCAACTTAACACCAAATTACTAGTATACCCACCTGACTCAGCACATTATAAATGGTAGGTAGCGTTGGTGAGGTCACCATTTAATAATCGTGTACCCACCTGACTCAGCACGTTATAAATGGTAGCGTTGATGAGGTCGCCATTTAATAATCGTGTACCCACCTGACTCAGCACGTTATATATGGTAGCGTTGATGAGGTCGCCATTTAGAGAGTCTTGAGCTCTGGAAGTCTCGATATGAACGCCGGAACGCCACACAGCAGACCAGCTCTCGCTGTGGCTCCGCACCAGACTTGAAATGGAACTTTCAGACACGGCTGATTGCAGGGTCTGAAAATTACAACATTTTTTAGAAAGCTCAGTAAATAAATAACATTCAATTCTAGCATATTAAATTCATGGAATTCATTCATTCAGCTCCAGGTTCACCTGAATCTGAAGTTGAATAGCGTAGAGGTAGCTGAAATACTAAGAGTTGAATACCTGAACGATGTTAGCATGAAATTTTGAAGGAAACCATGAAGGAAACATGAGAACCTTTTTCCTTTCGTCATTTTTAACCACGTCTATTGAAGAAACAAGTTTTCGCTATGAATACTAGAAGAGGAGCTTGAAAATACAAGCAATCGAAGATAGAAACCACTTCGCGTTTTGACAAAATCATCCCTCATACATTAATATTTCGCACAGTGGGTAATTCGGCTACAGATTAGATACAAATGAATTACCTATTAAACCACTGCATTTAAATATCCTTTAAATCCACGTAATTAGCAGATTATTGGAACACACATGATAATTAATACCAGTTACCGGACCTGAATGACTGCTTGTCGCGCAGCATTAGTTGCGACGTGTAAATCCTGCAGAAATATCGGCTCAGAATAGTTGATGGCTGTGAGCACGTGCAGAGTCGTTGACATGCGTGGCTCCACCTGGCAACCAAATACAATATTGCTAATACAAAAATTATAGAGCACAAAATCAAAATAAATGCGATTCACCTCGTAGTTGTGCAGCAAGTGCATTAGGTCAGAGCTGATGCTAAACGTCATCCATATCAGGTTGATTTAAGTGCAACTAAACGCGCACGTTGAACACCAAATATCTATCGATCGCATGAAGATCCCGCACCAACAGGATGCGTCTGTCACAAGTACAACATTGCAGAGCGCAATAAACTTATTTGTGACGTCAATAGGTGCACAAGTGTCCCTTGGTAGGAGTGTTGCATAAATCTCATACGGAGGAAAGGAGTCTGGTAAAGTTCTCATATGGAGGAAAGGAGTCTGGCAAAGTTCACATACGGAGGAAAGGAGTCTAGCACATGTCTCATCTGGAGAAAAGGAGTGGCACAGGTCTCACCCGGAGAAATGGGGTGGCACAAGTCTCACCCAGTCACCCAGAGGATAGGAGTCTGGCACAAGTCTCACCTGAAGCACAGGCGGCAGTGTGAGGGTGGCGACGGCGACCACGATGACTTTATTGGACGCCTGCTGGTGGCGGTGAGCGAGCCTCGCGGGCGCGGGGACGGTGCCCGTAACGACGCTGTACTCCTGCCGCGTCGCGTGGCCGGGCTGACTGATGCCGAGCGGTGACTCTACCCTGAATGTCGTCACGGGGGTTAGTTAATAAATAACATACAATAACCTAAGAATGTTTTGATGTCGAGTTGCAAGTTATGCCCAAAATAATAGAAATGAATAAGCTGCAATAGCTAATAGTGCTTGAAATAACGGAATAATGAGCAAGCAATCAAAATAGCAAGATACATGTGTGCGCAATAATGGCTAAGCCTTTAAATAGCAATCATGGAGCATTGATGAAAGACTCACGAGAATGTGTCGGTGGAGACGTGGCTCCAATGCTTTTCTCCGGCCCGCGTTATTCTGACAAAGACGCTCACGGGATTTGGATTCATAACCTGAGATATTAAAAAAAATGTAAAGGCAGTGAAGAGGGCAACCTAAGTCTAGATCAGATGAAATTCTAGTCAAGGACGCACTAATAGTCAAGTAACAACGAGAAAGCTATAGCACAAAGAGCTGGATACCATACAAAAATGATCCATAACAATGCTCATTTAATTCATTTGTAATTCACATATCATTTATACTTGAATAATCAAATGTTCTTCGCTAATCATTTGTACTTCACCAATGTCATACACAGATTGTACTCGTTTCAAGAGCTTAATAATTTTACTGAAGGTATGTGCATTGTGAAATATTCTACCGACCACAACATCCTGCAGCAGCAGAGATGGTATAGTGCGATGGGCGAGCAGCTTATGGGTAACTTCCACGTTGCCTCCACCTTCAGTGTCGCTTGCTGCACACATAACATGGCTTTTAATGATGAATTATTAGCAAGGTCATATAAACTCCAGGATAATATTCCATAATGAGGCTAATTTGATTGTTGATGACCTAGCAACAGGAACGCTGGTTTAACGAAGAACATTCACACACAAATAGCTGGGTTTCATATAGGTAGATACCATACAATCAAATAATAAAATGCCCGATACCTATAATCTTTACTCGTTTCGACTAAGATAAATTCATGGCCATTTCTCTTTCTAAATAAAAACAAATATATTGACATTTTAAAAGAGAATATTTTGTGAACATGGCCAGTGCCCTTGCCAAGAATTACTAGGTACTATTGACAAACAAAACTAGATTTTGAAGCACTATGGGGAGGCAGTTTACCCGAGACTGGTGGCTGCGCTTCACCAGCTGAGCGCTGGTTGGTGGCAAAGGACGCGATGCGCCAGGCTTGTATCTTGTCTACCGTCGCCTGTCTGTAGTCTGTCACTACAGCTTCATGCAGCACCCCACCTGCCAGGCATTGTTTTACAGTAAAAAAATTGTACATTTATAACGCATTTGCTCAGTTAGGTATGTTGAATGATTTGCTTTGTGGGGAATAATCATTTGTCTTTAGGTTGTCACTACAGCCTAATGCAGCGGCCCACCTGCGTGGCACGGTCCTACAGTGAAAAATTGGGTATTTGTACCATATTGCTCAGTCTTGTACAATCATTTAAAACAGTAAGTGCAATTGCATGAATTTAATAGGTATTCTAAAAAGAACACCAAGATGGAAACAGCAACAGGACGTACCTATAATGGAGACTCTATAACAGTGGTTCCCAAATTTTTCAAGCTGGCGCCCACTTTGGCTTCCTTCTGAATTTCTAGCGCCCCCCACAGACACGTATAAAAACATACGTCTCTTTCTTGAAATTTAGTACTTTAGTACGCTGCAATTTTAAAAGATGAAGGTTAAACACAAATATGTATTTAACAAATAGAACCCATTTAGTGAACCAATATGTTTTTCAGCTGTTTTAACTGTTTCGGCACTAGAAACCTAGGACTTCTTGGGCAAATTTACGGCCGGTCTCACGACCAATCTCCAAATTCAATTATGCAATATCTCCCAAACTAATGTACGCAGCGCAATGAAACTTGGAACATGTACGTACTCATCAGAACCCAACGGTGATGTTGAGCACGCGAAAATTTTTTAAATTTCACCTTCATTCGTGAGTTATATTGCGATGCAGGCCGATATTCACAGTGATCGAAGAATTTTTTTTGAACTACTGAACAGATTTAAACGAAATTTTGAATATACATTCCTAACTACCAAAGGGTGATTTTTTAGATTTAATTTTTTTACTAACCTTCGTTTGCGATTTTTTTTTTTCATTTCACAGTCATTCTTGATTTTACACTTCCTTATATTCGGCCCGTATCGCCGGGTAATTTGTCGCTTAAATTCGCGGTGATCAAAAAATTTCTTCTAAACTACCGAACAGATTTCAACGAAACTTTGTATATAAATACCTAACCTCCCAACGGTGATGTTTAGCTCGTCACAATTTTTCTATTTTGCTTTCGTTCGCGGGTTATACAGATATAGGACAACCGACCGGCTTTTCTACCGGCCGTTTTAACCATGAGCCGTTTACGCATAGCCGGATAGCTCGCAAACGAAGGCATAATTGAAAAAAATTGAAACGAGCTAAACATCACCGTTGCTGAGGTTAGGTATTTAAATACTAAGTTTCGTTCATATCTATTTTGTAGTTAGGGTTGGGAAAAAATTTCTTGATTACTGCGAATTTAAGCACGTATTGCTGTTTATATCATGAATGAAGGTGAAATGAAGAAAAAAACTCGGGAACAATGCACAATCGAAAGAATTTTCACGAGCTAAACATTACCATTCGGTAGTTAGGGTTGTAAATTCAAAATTTCCTTCGAATATGTTAAGTAATTTGGAAGAAATTCCTTGATCACTGTGAATTTTGCCCGTATTGCGATATAGCTATGGCAAAAACAAATGAAGGCATAATTTAAAAAGTTTTTCATGAGCTAAACATTTCCGTTAGGTCGTAATGAATACGTGTACCAAGATTCATCGAGTTAAGTTCATTAGTTTGAGAGATATTCCTTGATCATTGAATTAAGAAATTGGACGTGAGACCGGCCGCTAGTCCGACCGTAAATTTGTCCAAGACGTAAACCCAGGAGAATTAAAAAAAAATTTAACTCAGTACTCACTGCAGTGAGTGACAGAGAGCGCATTTTATCGTCGACGAAAACTTGAGGTCACGGACAGACGGACGGACAGGCAGACAGACGGACATGGCAAGCACAATAGTGCATTTTTTCCATAAATGAGAAAATGCGCTAAAAACAGATCTGTTTGAAAAAACATCGATTGGAGTCATGATGTGCTGTACGTGTTGTGTACAAATCGTCAAACAAACGTTGGAACTTCTGACTTCGATTTCGGACTGTCGCCCCCCCTACCACCCCCCTATCGCCCTTTTCTTCCTTACCGCCCCCCAAAATCTTTCCACCGTCCCTAGGGGGGCGAAATCGTCCACTTTGGGAACCACTGCTCTAAAACGTTGGAAACTCTTTCACAATATCTCTTTCATTTAATGTAATAACATGTATTATCTTGATATCACTTACCATCAACATATATCCGTAACAGAGGCTCATATGGAACTGGAAGGGCCAGGTTTCGGCCATGTCTTATGTAGAGCTTACTTTCTTGAGGCAAGGAGTCAGGTTTCAGCAATGGCTGCAATGCTGATAACCTGTTGATAACAATAGTAATCTGATTATACCGTAATGCTTCAGTTTTTCAAACAAACATTCTTAAGGACATTAAGGATCAACCTTTAAATGATTGAAATTAATATAATGACCACATTATTATTGCGATTAACTATACTTTTCATTTTTCATGTAAAATATAGAAAATAATTAAAATTCAATTATATTTTCAATTGCTTATGTGCCAAATAACACTGTTAGAACATTTGTATGCATTTCCTTGCATGGAGTTACAGTAAATACCGGTAGGTACCTAATATGTAGGCTATGGTCTGAAAGATCATAAAACAAAAAATATGCTGAAGCCAAATTTGGCTTGACCAAATGAGAAGGCTAGACTTGACCAGAAGGTTTGACCAAACCTTCTAGTCTAAGAAAGATAAAAATTAATTGAATTTGATTTTTAAAAATGATATCGAATTTGATAATTATTAGTTGCATTGCAAACTTGAAAAAAAATATTCATTATTTTTTCAGTTAGAAGATCATTTTGGTAATGAAGTAGCACAAACAATTTATTTGATAAGCATAATCCACTCACCACACCCCAATGTATCCATTACCAATGAATGGAATAAACTTTTGCACAGGAAGAGAAGCAACATCGCCATCTGCCTCTAGAGGGAAAATAATCAAATGATTTTTATTGCATTGAATATCAACCCTATTTAGTTGTCAAATAAATGTAGATGCAATTATTATGAAGCAGTTACAGACTGAAACTGGGTTCAGATAACTGATATTAAGACAAACTGCTCATAATACAGGGTGCATAAATAAACTTTCCATCTGACAGTTTATGAAAAACGAATTATTCCTGGGTAGAATTAAATTTTCCCCTTACAGATCATTCTATTAATTTTATCCATCCAGTAACATGAGGCTACAATTTGCTAGTGCAACAGACATCCTGTAATTTGACATGCCGGACCACAACCAAAACCTACCTCAATGGCTAATGGGCTTGGGTTTCTTGTTTGAATGCTTAATTGTGAATGTTGGTAGCAACGGGAAAAATTCAAGACACACTTTTTTTGGTTCAATCCCCTTCCTGCTCCCTACCTTCTTCTCTAACAATTTGATGAGTTAATAAAAGTTTCTTTAATGCACCCACCACAGTAGCAAGTTTTAAAGTCAATATAACAAATGAAAATTATCAATAAAAATTATTATCACAGCATTAGCTATCAGGCAGCAGCAATTATCCAATCTCTTTTTAAACATCAATGACATACGGTAGTTTTACAATTATACCAGCAGCCTTGACCATCAATTTACTATTTCAGCAAATAAATTGAATCAGTCTACTCCTTTAGACTGTATACCACTCTAACAAGAGGCTTCAATGCCAAGGTACTAACTCCATCCAAGTTAAAGCAATTTACTGACCTTGTGCATGACGCAGCATAGTTGTTTCCAGTAATTCAGGAGGCTGGGTGTACAATATGTGAGCATCAAGTGATGAAAGAGCCAACTTATGCAGGGCAACACGGGAAGCAACACTCTCAGTTGCCGACTCTGAGCAAATTAAATATTAGGTTCAAGTAAAAATCACAATTTTGTACAGCAGATATACATAATGATATAATGATAAATATAAGGACAAATTCTTAAAAGTATTTCCAGCATAAAAGTGTCACATTAAAATTAATGAACCACTTCATCTTTTACAAAAGCTACTGTTCATTGAAAAATAATATCAGCTTAGTCACAGAGACTAAAGTCACAATCTGAATTGAGCTTACATCTGTCATAGGATTAAACATAAAAAAAATACTGTTTTGTAAAACTACCTTGAATCACCAATCTTTGCCATATATACATACCATACTTATTTATTTATACCTACCATATACCTATATCTGTACAATTGCAGAACAACCACCAGCTTTCACTTATTGACTGAGGATAATTTCCATGACCATGAATAAAACTTATAAAAGAGGTTAGGAACTAAATACTAGGTACCGGTACTTCATATATACCTGTGATGAGAGACATCCTTGTAGAAAAGAGTGTCCTGAGAATGTAAGGGCCAGCATATAGGAAAAACACCAGCACCAACAAAATCACCAGCATTAACTTGCGTGGCCTGAAAAAAGTAAAGCGGTTAAAAAAATACAGGATATTGTTCACTTCCATGGCAATACTATGTATATACAGTTTCTGTTTAGTAGTATGGTAGTGCAGTTTCAGTTAGGATAGAAGGTAAAAACATCTGATATAGTAGGTAGATATAAAGAATTGTTGTCATTAAGAATTGTTGTCATCTCATTAATTGTTGTCACATTTATAAAAGAAAACATGGGACCAAATACTCACGAATAGTTTCCATCTGTCAAGCGTCTCCCTTTTTTAATCAGTTCAGTTATATCCATTTTTTATATTTTTCAGAACAAATTGATGATACTTGATTAAAAATACTCAACAGTAAATACACATAGAAGTTGTCAGCAACCAGCCATCGCTTTGACTAGTTTAAATTCGAAGAAAAGAAAATAATTTGCCACAACTAATAGATAATTATTGCACAAGATAAATATCTGTCGACTTTCCAGTTATTAGAACATTACATTAATACATGTTCATTCTAAACTGCAGAAGTTAGTCTAAAATAAATTAGGTTTCATATGTGTCGCATTTTTATATACCGTCAACTGGGGCTACTAGGGACGATTTCTAAGTTTGATAGTGCTGTGCACGGTGCAATCAGCTACCTATCTGTTATGTTACTCTTTAATGTTTAGGAGATCTGCATTCCTGAAGTGTTTTTGTATATTGAAGCCAGTTAAATGGTCAATATTTAGCTCATTACCTTGCTCCATACAAACTTTACAAAGCTAATGAATAGACTTATCAATAATTGTTTACCCAAAAATCCCTAAGTGGTAAACACCACCTTGGCCATTATTGGAGGCAACAAGTGCCCTTTTTAGCCATCCATTATGATCCATATACTGTTATTGTTAGTAGGCTAATTGCAACATAAAAAATAACACCTCAAAAAAAAGACAAAAAAAACTGAAAAAAAATAAAAAAAAAATCAAATAAATAAAAAAAAATCATGAAAAAATAAAAAAAATCATTGATTTCTTATTTTTTTGATTTTTTTTTTTTAAATAAAAAAAATCGCCAACCCTGTTTGCTGGTCTATGGCGCGGCACCTCTCGTTCGGCGGCTCGGCGCGAGAAGTTGAGAGACGGTAGGTCGAAGCTGTTCACACGCTATTTCGTAAAATTGTCCGAGAACAGTAAATTCTCACCCGCGATTTTCGAGAAGCACCCGGGAGGACAAAAATTGCACCCGCTATTTTCCAACTTTACCCTTGAAGAGCCTCTTTTCACCCGCGGTATTCTAAAAAATCTGCCCATTATTCCTGTCTGGTGCACGTCACTCACAGATAAGCAAGAGGAATCTACAGAATGAAATACTATTTATTCTAGCCGTTTGAAGTACGTCCAATTTTACTTTACTTTTGCTGTAGCTGTACCGTAAAATGGGGTAACTTAGACCACTTTTTTTTATCAAAACCTGGAGTTATTTAACCAAAAAATAAAAAAATTGGAGGGGGTACTCTGACAGGCTTTTAATAATAGCTCTTTTTCGTGGGTCACATTTTTAATTTTTTAACCTATTAGATATGCAAACTTTTTAAATCTTTCTATTGTGTTATGTAGCCTCAGTATTAGGCCTTTAATGCCCATTGACAAAATTTTTCTATGTCAAATAGTTTTTGAGTTGTGGGGGTTTTTGTAAAAAAAAACGAAAAGTGGTCTAAGTTACCCCGCCGGTCTAAGTTACCCCATTTTACGGTATTATTAATGTATTGCGTTGTGCCGTTGCCTAACAATACATCCAGGCTAGCTAGTGAGGCTACCAGGTTCTTCCTTGGTCCATAGTGGCAAACCAGAGATTTTTTAGAATCAGTTCATTTTTAATTTCCTTATCTACTCAATATTTTTTCAATTTCTTATGTATGAAATGAAAATGCTGGTATTCAAGTTACTTTCCTCAGTTTCCTGGTCTACTTATAGGACTCAAAAATGAACTTGATGAAGAGTCTAAAAAAATTGCTGCTTTGCCACTATGTATTGGTCTGCCTAACATCCTGGATACCATAAAATGGGGGTAGGGTAAACATGGTAGTATATTACAACCATAGTGGAAGTCTATGAAGAGAGGTACTTATGTTGGTCCACCGCCGTGTGGCGGTCCGCAGTCATAACCCTTCGCAAGGCCCCATGCCCTTGGCCCTTGGGCGGTTGGGCCCCTGTTGCAAGTTGCAATGGTCTTAACTCAACGGTTCGACTCCCATGGTCTCATCACAACTCCCTTTAGAAATACATAAAGTTTTGAAATTGATATAAATATATCAATAAATATTTGAACTGGGAAATTTCTTAGTTACTTACGTTGGTTCCAGAATGATATCAATGACATAAAAAATGACAATGACAATTATGACATCGGTTAAGAAGCTTCAGCCATGATCTCAGCTCTGCTCAGTCCTTTTACCTCGTAATTAATTATGTTAGAACTTCGATGTTCAAATGTTGATACTACTGGCAAGTGTCAATATCACAATCAAAATTATTTCACCATCAGAAATATGTTATAATATCACAATCGAAAATATTATTCACAAATAACCATTGATTTCAATCGAAAATTGTTCCCATCTGTCAGGCTTCTGTCTCTTATACACATCTAGATGTGTATAAGAGACAGGGACGATTCCGTGGGTTACGGGATGATACCGATGGTTACGGGACGATCCCGTGGGTTACGGGACGATC